TCTCTTGGAATTTGTACAAAAAATTTTTATTTTGAATAAACACTGGAATTTATTTGCGTATTTAATATAGAAAAAATGAATTTTAAAAATTTAGGAAGGACAAAAAGTAAGAAACAAAAAAATTGTAAATACGTGTCCTTTTCTGAGGAAAATTCTACTTATGTGAACAGATTCGTAAACACCAGATTACATCGATACGCAAGAAATTTTGTAATTATTTCATAATTTCTTAGATATAAAGACTAAAAATATTTTTCTTATAAAATAATCTTATCCGTCACCCGAATATTGAAAAGTGAAAGTATGAGTATAAACGATAAAATATAGATAACATGCACACAATTTAACAGAAAGGGTGTTGTGAAACTTTATGACAATAGTATAAGATCAAACACGAAAAGAAAACATGGAATTTTTTTTATCAATCTCACATCTTACATGAACTTGATTTATCATACAAACTATAATTAAAAAATATTAGTTATACCATCCACAGAAAAAAAGAAATCCTTGATTCAAGTATATTTTTATTCTCGAACGCTATTTGATTGATTTAACCATAGAATGCTCTTTGTAATCCTTAAGATATATTCTTGTTTGAAAAATCGCATATGGTAAAAACAAACTTAGTCACATTTGAACTAAGAATTATTATTATATATATTTGAAAGTACCGCGCTTATATCCGATGCACACTTGGTCCTTGCAATATTTATAAGTAAATTTCAGCTTCAACCAAGAATATTTTGCACTTTGTTTTAAGGATAAATTATTTATATTTGGTGCTATTATAATAATACTGTTTTTCTGTGATGGCTAAAATCCAGGGTGTAATAGAGAGAAGGAAAAAAAACCGTTTAAATAACGTAATTCTTAATCTGACTTATTAGAGAGGCTATCTCGTGAAGTTTTCACGAGAAAACGAGAAACGCGTGATTCATATAACCGTTTGTTCCAAAACGACTCGTATTCCGTGGGCCGAATGCGTTAAAGCGCAATCGCGTGGCGGTAGACAGCTGATTTTTAACAAGTCTGCACGAGGGATTCAATTTTTCCGAGACGCATTATTCATAGCGCATTAACCGTACCGGTACGAAATTACCGGTACGCACGCATGCGCTATTATGCACGGCAACTTGTTCAACGACGCCCACTTGTTCAAGTCCCCCTTTTGTCGACGTACAAATGCGCCGTAATTAGAAAAGTGTATACGTATGTAAGCGGCGTGTTTCATTGACACTATCAATCAGACTTCCCCTTCCTCCCCGTGAAGAAAAACCCTGCATTCGATATTATTCGTGTCATCCATCTGTGCAAGCACACACACACATCGCTTGTCATCAGCCCGAGGTTGGCTATATAGGCTATATAGTGGATGAACTTTGCTTCGCGATCGATCCGATTTTCCGTCTCGTCTTTTTATCACGCATTTCTGTGCACGCGACAACGCTTCCTTCCGAATAAACGACCGAATCTTTTCTCCGTTTGACGAGAGGGCAAGGAGCGATACAAATTTGTTCCCGTTGTAAAAATATTTTTCGACGGACGAAAATGCAAAATAAAAGTAAACGATGGATTGCGAAACTGTAAAATTTAATGATGTTTAAAATAAATTGTACACAATCGAATTAAATATATTATAGTTTATAAAAAAGAAGACCGCATCGATTTTTTTTAAAGCTTGTTAAATATTTATAACGAGAGAGCGGATGCGATTTGTGAAAAATTCAAATTTATTTAAATCTTGTATCGCACGTGTAAAATAATCTCGTCGCATAAATGAAAAAATAATGATGAATCAAAGTCTCTTTAAGAAAAGAAATTAGAAATTTCCTGTTAAGCTGATTTTCGGAGAATCGATTGTGCCATTAAAATGCAACAGGTTTTCGAGACGGGACGATCTTGTGGAGGCATTCCATCGAGCGGATCAAGGTCTCGCCCTTTTCATGGGATCAAACAGAGAATCTCGCGTTTCAATTCTTCACCGCATATATCTTCGCAATATAAATAATATAATGCGAAAAAAATGTTTCTTATAAATTTTTGTTTACGCGACGAAATCTTTCTTTTGCACGGTTTATATAATTAACTAACTCTTCTCTTCGTGTAATCCTCGTAAACATAATTCAACCATAAACATAATTTTACCGTAAATTTTACCGAGATTTGATTAACGAGATAACCTTAATGAACACCTTCGCCGTGTCTGATGAAAAGCTTTGTTCGTTGAAATATTCATTAGACACTCGTGTTATTATCATAATTAAATGCGATCGTATTAAATTAATGTAGAAAATAAATGCACCGCGCCGATTCGCGCAAACATATGTCAATGGTTCTTTGACGCGCAGCTGACCCTTTTCGCGTTTATGGTAGCTCGCAGTCTCGGTTGTTAGACCCGTTTATCTATATCACTGCGCCAGTCGCAACTGTCGCTTCCATCGTCAGCGAATCATACAATTTCACCGGCCAGATATACGATACACACAATCCGCGCTACGTCTCGTCGTATATATATATAACTCTATGTGGTATATACGACGCAATCAAAATGAGTATAATGAAAAGCGGTGCAGTATCCTCGTAAATAGGTAATAAGACGCCTGTTACCCGCCTGCTCCATGGCTACATATCCTTGAATTGAAAATACTTATCTATATCTGACGAATTTCAATCGGTAAGGTTACGGATGATACGCGTGGGAATATAAACGCGCGAACGTTACATGCCTCGATAATACCTACGACCCCTGATATTCTATTGTATTTTAATGCATTTTAATACTTATATGTTGTTATCTATTTTTTCCATTGTTCTGTATCTGCTCCTTTCGTAATTATTTCTTTATTGTTTTTTTTTTTTTTTTTATAATTGAACAATGCATTTTGTCCTTTTCGTGCCAAATTCTCATACAATCGTGGATTTGAGTAAAATATATTCTATTTCACTCTATCTCTATATAATTATCGCATAATTTTCTGATATCGTACATCTCTTTATTTTGTCGAGAAATTAAATCTCTTTCTAAACAATCTGAAAGTTTATCAAATCAGAAAATATAATAATTTGTAAACTCGGAAACATATAAGAGAAATTATTTTATATATATATCTTTATAATTTTATCAAATTTTATATAAACTTAATTCGTTTTTTTTTTTTTTTTTTTTTTTTTTTTTTTTTTTTCACTCGTTTTGAATGCTTACGCAAATTGACATTACTGCACAGAGAAAATTTTCATTTAGAATTTACCCTGAAAATCATGGTAATGGTGAAAAATTATTAATATCTACCACAGATAAGATATATAAAATGTTTAATTTTACAAAATTCTTCCACGATTACGGATAAATTCTAAGAGAAAATTTTCTTCAAAAACTATGAAAATTTCAAAGTATAATTGCTCCTGATTTTTTTCTCCCCCCGTACACAACTCGGTCTTTTCTAATTCGACCATCGTCCCGCACATAAATTCTTCCCACCCGAATTTCTTTCGCGCCGTCCTCGCTTTTCTAGCTTTCTAGGGGGAGAGAAAAAAAATCGAATCACGGATCGATTCGCACAGCTGGTTTCCTGTCGCATATATCCACATGTACATACATAGAAACCGTGCGGCGGCAGCGTCACGCACGTGCGTGTGCCCTTTCTCGTTTGCGCGCGCGCTCGTTTGCATGCACGTTTGACGTTTCGCAACGTCGCTGCGTGCATGGAACACGCGGGGTACGCGTAGAACGCACGTGTGTTGGGTCCATCCGTCTCCTCACCCCAACGGCTGGCTCGTTCCTTCTTCCTCTCGCTAGTCTCGCCTAGTCCCACCGCTCCGAGAAAACAACGAGCACGATTGGCCATCGCGGCTACTCTTTATCGTCCCCGACCCTCCGCGAGTCCCAGGGACGAGCTATTCCATTCCATTCACCCGTACAAACTCGAATGTTACTACGTTATCCGCACCGCGTATACTATCTCCCTCTTGTTCGCTTCTTCCTTCTTTCTCTCTGTCGCGCCTATACTGGCCTCTCTCTCTCTCTCATCGGAATAACGTGTGCCGCGGAAATGTTCGCACAGGTTTCCAACCTGACCTACGTATGAGACACGGCCCGACGCAATTTTATCCGGTATTAGCGGAGAAAGGGAGGCGAAAAGAAGACAAGACAAAGAGAATCCGGCGGTTGGGTTTCCTGTGTTATTTTCTCTCGTAGAAGAACGCGAAGGGATTTCTTTATTGACCATCCTAAACGATCTTAAACGACGCTTGCCTGTCGTTTTTCGGCCTATCGGCAATCCGCCTTTGCTCCTAATAAAGGACGCCAGTGTCCACCAGTCTTTTATTATATATATCATCGAATTGCAGATTCGTGCGGTAATCATCCTCATACAATTCTCCTAATCCTTCAGTTATATAGTAGAATATTCTATTCTCTTTTGTAATTTGTTTCCTTTTTTTTTTTTTTTTTTTTTTTTTTCAAAAATTACAATACAAAAATGTAAGTAAGATAGATTTCAGAACGCGCGTGTTTTGTATAAGTTTAATACGACATTGATAGAGGTAATTTCTCTTAGAATTTACTCCGAAAATCGTGGTAAGAATTTTATAAGAGATTCTCCGATTAATTATTTACCGCAATAAAAATATGAATATCTACCACGCTAAGATATAAAATATATGTTCGATTAATTTACTATGCACATATATTATTTTTTATCGTGATAAATATTAATCAGAGCAATTATAAAATTCTTCCATTTTACCATTATATTGTCTCGTGATTTTCAGAGTAAACTCTAACAGTAAGAGAAAAATTCTATCCGTGTACAAACTTGATTACAATTTGAGCCATGTATCTCAAAATATACAATATGTAAATCAATAAAATACTTAGTAATTAAATTTTATTGTTTAAGATTTAAAACAATGAACAGAGGAAAAATATATTCCGAACGGATTACAGCGCAAACGTGACAAATTGAGAGAAACCCGATGACATACGGTTACCTATGTACGCTGAAGTTTCTCGAACTCTTGGAAACGGCTCGTGAGAGACCGGCTCGGTTGAACGATGCGATGTATCAGTATCAGTTGTTTCCGGAAGCTCACCCCAACGTGCCGACCAAACGTCTCGTGATTCAGCACGCGAACCACTTCTCGTCTTATTAAATTGCTCACTACTACGTGAATCAATTTAAATCACCGTCGTAAAACAGCCGTTCTCCGATTAAGTAAGAATACTCGACGAATATTGCGCGCGACATTTATTCGACTCTAATGTGATTACAAAAAGGAAAAAGATTAGAGCAGAGTCAGGAAATAAAAAATACCGTGTGTAAAAATATGAAATTAATTCGGGAAGCGCACAGTACAGAAAATTATATACCACAGAAAGAGGACTGGCATGCGTACACGACTACGAAAACAATTTTTTCGTTTCAAATTTATATAGTCCGAACCTTTAACCTTCTTATCAGCAAATAGCAGCTGTGAGGAAATATATCTTATCTATATACCGATTAACGCCCTTAATTCCGGCTTATTTTAAAACACTTACTTCGAAAATATAATAGGAAACGACATGCGATCAAAATAAATTTATGTAAAAAATATTCTTTACATAACACGCGTATAATAATCGATTACTCATATCGATACTATAAAATGGATATTTTATTTATAATAACTGCATACAATATATATATATATATATATATATATATATAATTTTATTTTTATGCGTGAAATAAATATATTCAAATATGATAGACATGAGTTAAGAGTGTCGTAAAAAAACCGACTTATCGTTTAAGACACTTTTAGACGATATCGCGACACGAAAATTTGCCATGCACGAAAGGAAAAGCAACAACGATCGTTTTCCATAGCAGTCGTCGGTTGTAAGATACGGTTAAAATAGCCAACTATAGTCCCTCGAGACTCGAAGAAGCTCCGGTCGTCGCATAGATGTGTGCGAAAGACGCATGCCGTCTTGCTCTTTTTCTTTTTCCCTCTCTCCTCTGTTTCTCTCTTCGCTCGTACTGCGTCTTTTTGTTCCCTCTCGGTCTCTCCCGTACCCTTTTGTCCCGACAGAAGAAACGCGGGGTCGAGGAGCTTGTGCCCTCGCCGTTAGGTACGCGGAATCTGCGATTCTATCGCGCCCTATATAGGCTGCTCCAAGAATAGCGTTTACACTTTACTTCTGACATTTGTACAAAGTAACAAAGAAACCATATAACTGCGCTACAAACATTTTTGTATTACACGTACGCAGGCAAAGTGGCACTTTGTGTGCGTGTTTTCTGTGCGGAAAGCGGCCGATTTCCCACGCCGCCCATCTAGCGGCGACGCGGTGAGTAAATAAGCCGCATTCAGAGCCATCGCCTACGGCTGAAGCCGTGGGCAATGACTTTGAACGCGGCTATTCCCGCACCGTGCCGTCGCAAGATGGCGGCGCGCGATCGGCCACCTCGCGCACAGAAAACGCGCACAAAGCCACTTGTCTGCACTTGTGATACAAAATATCGCGTGTATCAAGTGCGGATTGACTCGCCTTCGGCTCGTGCGTCCATCCTCCGCACTCGTGACCAATTGTCAACTTTCCGCACTTGATATACACAATATACTATTATTTTAATCTACAAGTGTTAAGTTCACACGATACACCTTATTAAAGCGACGTGCTTCAAGAATAACGTTTACTTTTATTTCTGACTGATTTGTACAAAGCAACAAAGAGACAATAATTGCACTAGAAAAATTAAAAAAAAATGCTACATGTTAAGTTCGCGCGAGACCTTATTAAAACGACGTAAGAATTTCATTAAATACGCGATTTTAAAAAATGACTTGTTGGACCACCCTATAGTACGCTTGATCGAGGTTGCCGCGATGGGTCTCTCTATATATCGTCGGCTCGGACTTCGATCCTCCGTTCTTTTTCGCCGAAGAGATCGATCGATATTGATATGTGCGGCGGGCATGAAACTTTACAGAAGCGGACGAAATCGCGGACTCCTGCGACGAAACACGAAGCGGAAACGAGAGGAACAAACGCGCGTGTAATTACTGGAAGGAACGCGAGAGCTTCCGAGCATCGACAGTCGGCGAAAATAAGCGGCGGTCGCTAAATAATGCCTGCTATTCATGCCCTCGTCTCCGTTGCGTACTTCCTCTGAACTTAAAGCCCGGGCCGCGCGAGTCGGAGAGAGATCTATGTTGAGGGAAAGGGAGATCTCTGAAAGTGGCGGTTTTCCCAAATGCATGCATTCACGCATCGTCCTCGTCACATGACACGCGTGTGCGTACGCACCTATATATATGCACACATTTTTTTGAAGAGGAAAAAAAGCGTAGGGAAATATAGAGAGATGGAGCTAGAGATAGAGAGAACAAGTTTTTATTGTATTCTATAAAGAACTTGTCACACATAACAGGAAGTAATATATATAATAAAAATAAACACGCATAAAAGAGATAAGATAAGGCTCTATCGAGACCAAAGTGTAGCATATGCATTGGCATACATAAGAGTAGCGCGAAAAGTGTAACGAGAGAGATAAAGAGAGAAAGAGCAAATTTATTTTTATGCGTCGGGATCAAATCCCCATACGAACGATAGCAATAATCATTGTCGACGAAACCGATAAGTCTATAAACCAATAACAAAACCAATAATAACGCTAAAAAAAGATACAAAGTCGAAGCAAAAAGAAAAAAAAAGAAATTTTAACAGCGACAAGACGGAGAAGCAAAAGAGACAAAGGCGATTCCGAGACTGAATCCCAGGAATAATAAAAAGAAAGAGAAAAAGTCGTCGCGAGACGATTTTAGGAACGAGAGATACTCTACGAGCGCGAGCGAAGGGCACCTCTCTCTGGTCGGCAACGCGCCCTCTCGCGAGATGCACCGGCGCGACGCGGCGCGCGTGATCTCTCGGATTACGCGCAGCAGAGCGGGCTGGTTCACCGAACAAACGGAACGAGAGAGAGAGAGTCACGGGGTACGCGTAGAGCCTAGGCACGATACTGAGGACCTCCGCGAGCCGCTCGGCGGTGCTTTCCTCAAGAGGGAGAGAAGAGGCGCGGGAGAAGGCGCGACACGGCGGAGAGGGGATCGAACGGGCGGCCGGGGGTGAGACGGAAGGGGGGTCGAGAGGATAGAGGCAGGGGGGCAGAGAATTCTCTCTGTTATAGATTAAAATTTTTTACGGGGAAGATATTGATTGTTGCTTTTTATTAATGTAACATTAAAGTGGTGCCCGCGGCGGTGGGGCAATCGCGCCCCGCTGTGCGCGCCCGACACCGGTGGTGGGGCGATCGAGTGGGGATGACGGGGAGGAGGAGGAGGACGTGGAGAAGGGGGCGCGGAGAGGAAGTAAGAACCGACGCGACGCGCGCTCCACGAAACGGCGCGGCGGATAGGGGGACATAGAGAAGAAGATCGGGGGTTGAGAGAGAAGGGGCACGGAGGGGCTCGAAGCGGCGGAAATAGTGCCATAAATACGTACATTTTTCGCAGCGTCTTGCAGCCCTGTTTTGACAATCATCCCCTCCAGGGGGACTCGCGGGTGCCCCCTTCGAAACCCCTCTCTTCTCATCCTCCGGATCTTAAATACATAGATACACACACACGGGGAGGGGTCTCGCACCCCCTGTTCACCTAACCGAGTACACGCCACCCCACGGACGAAACTGTCCCCCTCCACTCTGTGTGCAACCTTATATATCTCCTCCAGCCTATTCTTCTACTCGCTTTGACATTTTTCGCGAGTTAAGGCCCGCTCGAACTTGGCGGAGATCCATCTCGCGCTCTGACTCGCCCCTCTTTTCTCTTTCATCCCCCATTCTGCCTCTCCCGAGCCGAGCCGCTTTTTTTATATCTTCTTTTTTCGATTCTTTGCGTCTCGGGGGTTTCTTTTTTTTTCTCTCTCTCTCTTTTTTTGCAAGGTGGAGAGAGGTGGGTCGACGCGATGGATCGATGCTTCTTTTTCGAGACGACGACGAGCAACGACGACGAACAGAGAGAGGAGAGACAACAAAACGAAGTTTCCCCCGGCGGAGGCTCTTTAATTGCCGATTTGACACGACGACGCTTACGTCGATGCGCGTGTCTCTCGCGTACATACATACACGCCCGGTAAACCGTAATTGAGAGTGCGGAGAGGGAGAGAGATTGCGAAAGGGAAAATGATTAATGGACGACGCGATCGGATCAGAGGTGAGATTAATCGAGGGAAAACGCTAATACGAGTTCATCGCTCGCTCGATTACGTACGCGACACTACATGCGCGTTACATATGTAACCTCGGCCCGTATGTACGATATACATACGCACGATACGTGTAATGCACGCCAATCTTCATAATCTTTCCCGCTGTCAGTGTACGAGTCTCTGATCTTTATGAGCGCACAATTCCGAGCCGTTGAAACTATTAAAGAGCTTCCAACCATTGAAGAGTCGCGCATTTCTTTCCACTGCCGACGAGAGACGGGAAATCATCGTTCACTGTTGCGCAACAAAATCTTCTCTCGGAAAAAAAAAAGGAAAAACGAGCGATAAAACCGCGCGATCGAGATACTCGCATTTTGTAACATTTTATTATAGTGTATTTAATATATATATATATATATATATTCACGACAACCAGGCAAATTTTACGCGGTTTTTGATAACATAGGACGCGCATACATCTCCCTCTTCTAGGAAGAGAAAAACCATTCTTTCCAAATCATATACCCGGCCTGGAAAACGAGGGGGTAACCACTAGCTAAAATGTTGTCCCACAGATTTCATGATTTCATCTAATTACAAACGATTTCATCTGATTGCAATGGATTTTTTTCATTACATATGAATCATTTCATAAAAGTAATGATTTCATCTGATTACACAATGCATTTTCGCAATTTACTACGGAAAGTGCTCGTGCCACACATGATCTCATCACAGATTTCATAATGATTACACATGATTCCAATGATTACACGAAAATTCAAAATGATTTCTGCTGACTACATGCGATTTCATTATGATTCCGCATGATTTCATTTGACTTTATCAATTACATCTGATTGCAAACGATTACACGGGATTTCATAAGAATTTCATAATGATTTCGGGGACACTGTCCCACGATTACATTAAGTGGTTACCCCCTCGCTAGAAAATCAACTGCGCGCTCAGTTCACGCTAGTTCCAGGGAAAAAATGTTAAACGCGTGAAATTTTATTTTTCTCCGACACGTTGAACGTGTCGAAAGATTGACGACCGAAAATTCGAAGAATAGGAAAAAGAATGAATCACGCTTTTATTGTTTACGAAGGAAATATTATTTTCTAACGAAACGTCACGCACGCACACACGTACGTAACGCGTTTTGCGGAACTTGCTGTCTATCGCTAATAAAAAATTCGCACAAAATACTCTCTCTCTCTCTCTCTCGAGTCCTTTTTAAAAGGTCAATTCGCGTTATTTCCGCGTCGCTTCATCGCGCCTCCTTAGCGGAAGCTCGAAACGGAGGAAGCCACTTCGGGATACGTGCCGCGGCAGGTTGTATTTCGGCCTCACCCCGTCGCGAGAGAGAAGTCGAAGCCCTTTAGAGGGAAAAAGGTCGAGAAACCTCGACTATCATCCGTGCAATCGTCATGCGATCGATCGAATTGATTTTATCGCCTGCCCGTTTACAGAGAAACTACGGATGCTAACCGCTACCGACGTGTTTTATTCTGTCGAGAATAGATGATAAAAAAATATTAATCTCTCCGAGAGTCAAAAAATCATACGTTATTGTTACCTCGAGCTATTAACATGTGTAAGCCTCCACGTCACAATATAACATCTTACTTGATCTAACTGTAAGTCCATTTTTATTAATTTACTTATCTTCAATGTTAATTTTTTCGTACACTTATGATTTTATAGACATATTAACAATGGCTGTTATCGAGATTCTATATAACCGACCTCCTAACAGAACAATTAACGAGAGATCTGTTTCGCGACTATTATACATATAATGACGTTGTGAGGAATAGTGAGCATATGACTTGACTCTAGACATTTTTATTTTTATTATAATGACATTGAAGAATAATTTATTGTTAATTTATACTAATATTTTAATTATTAATTGCGCTGAAGAAGGTTGGAAGAGACAACCGAAACGTACGACGAATTGAACTTACTTCTGTATAATTTTTAATAATTTATGTTATAAATCGTTTCACAAATATATTTCTAGTATAGAACTTATGTAGCTCTTATTGCCTTTTTTATTCGTAGATTAAAATTTTCTAAAGAGCTTTTATAAATTACATCAAAATATTAATCTTCAAATATCATACGATATTTTTTCAAAGACTCTCTTTCTCGTGACTTTAGTGTCATTTTGGTGTAATCATATTTTTTTAAGAAATTATCTTTCATTTCATTATTTTTTTTTTGTTCTAAAGTTCAAAGAATTATTCTCAAATATATTAATTTCAAAGCTAATAAAAAGAGATGAATCAATATTTATTTCGATACAAGGTAAGGCACTTTTCGTTTGATAACAAAGAAAACATTCACACCTCGGTTCACGAATTCTAAAGAATTGTTTACATATAGGATGAATGCCTTTTCCTTATCTGAAGTCTGACCGTTTCTTTTGAAAAAAAAAAAACCAACTATTTTACACTCGAGTATTAAAGTAACGTTACGAGAAATCTTTAATTATTAGCGCGGATTTATTACTACAGTTGTACGCGTGTCTTTCTCTTCTCTTTCTCCGCGCTACATAATCATTCTTTAAACTTGCAAGTCTAGTGGTTTTAGTCACGCTTTGTGCATGTAAAATTAAATTAAACGAGTCAATCGCGACTTCTATCTCTCGTCGGAATGTGAAGAATATACAGACGGGAAAAACGCAGCAACCGTAAAAAGGTAAACAGAGTTTATCAGAATTATAGAAAAATTGTACGCGATTATATATAGTAGTTACAACACTTCAACGCACAGAGGCATTGTAACGTACAACGCTAATCCGTGAACGATACTTTTAAGTATGACGTGGCCTTTGAAGTGACGCAGACTCTGTTTCACACGATGATATGACGCCATCATCCTCTTCTCCATTTTGGCTTACATGTTAACTAAATCTTATCTTATCGCGTTTCAAAAATTTCGATTGCTAGGGAAGTAGGTAGGTCCCCTTTTATTATGATTATACGATTGGTCGATTCTTTCCACATAGTTTGAAAGAAGAATTGAGAGTGGAGGTATTATTTTAGTCCGTTTCTATATTTGTACGAGATATCCGGCCCTAAAATGTTACGTGGCCATTTCATTGGACACAATCTTAAGACCGCACACTAATGATAGAATATAAGAAATGACTAAAGGTGACCCTAAAATATCGAACTGAGCAGAAAGAAACGAATATAAAAAAAAGACAAGTTAGACTCAAAGAGAGATTTATTAAAATCGAAAAAAATGACGGTATTTTTTCGTGAATTCTTTACATTTCTCACATTTCTTTTCGGAGATTTCAATCGAGTTTCAAAGAAAAGATAATTCTTCGAAAACAATGATTCTCAATTTTTGACGTTAAATATTTTGTTTTATAATAAGAATGATGCAAGTTCGCAATTTGTGAAGCGTGCTTCAAGTGTGATTCACATTTTAAAAGAGGCTTGTAAATATAATTTTGTGAATTAAATTCGTCAAATTTACAAACGTACCCTGAAAGGGTCTTAAAAAGAAGAAAGAAATGCTTTCTAAATTTTTCATCGTCAAATATATTTCTCGGTATTAATCAATTCCCATCGTTAAATTGTCGTCGGGGAAAAATCAATTTGAAAATTAATGTTTCAAGCGCACTTGGTGTGAAGCAGCCTGTACTCTCTCCTTCCCTCTTCCCTCTTACAACAAGCATCGCGTCTCGTTTCATGAATTCACCTTCCTGCCGTTTGTTCTTTCCCACTTCGGCGCGCGCGGTGAGCCGAGGCCAGGTTTAATTCTCAAAGAGCGATAGCAATTTCCCGAGGAGGAAAAGGAACGGAGAGACATGCGCGCGCGCGCTGCTAGTCGCACTCGATCGATGCGTCATAAGCGATTAATCTATTTAACCCATC